TCACCAATTCGATTTGTATGATCGAATCTCACGACTCTCAACACACGGTTTGAACTAACGTTCTTTTCTATTCCATTCCAAGACATCCAAAAACAATGGGGGGTGCTCCCTATTTATAGATCCCAACTATGACTAATTCTAATCTACCTAGGAAACATATTAAAGCAATAAAATATTAAATATCCTATACAATCTAGATATTATTGTGCAAGAAGGAAACTAAATATCTAAAGTCCTAAATTGACTAGATCTTGATTTTGCTTGGCTTGCACTCCAAACAAATCCAAACTCATGCCCCAAGTACTCTCGGCCGCCCTACTCTTCACGCGTCGCACGCGTTGCGCACGCCGCCTCACATTCCTCGTCGCGCGCGGACACTTGCGCCGTGTCCCGCACGCCAGCGTCTGCCGACCCCATCTCGCCTAATCCTCCCGCGCATAGGCTTTGCACGTCCGTCGCCCAATCGCGCGCCAATGCGCGCGCCCAGCTGCCGCCGCCTTTCCTCCGCGCGTGCGTGCCCAGCATTCCTAGGCCCTCGAGGCTTAGGCCTCTGTCCGCGTGATCGTTGCCCGCACGCCCAGCGCGCCCGCCGCTCGCTGCCCGTGCGTACCTTCCATCGCCTGCGGCCTGCTCCCCTACCGTGCACCCGCGCGCACCCAATGCCGACCGCGTGCTGGCCACCCGTTCTCGCGCATCACAGCCCGATGCGCGTCTTTTGCCCGTTCGGCCTTCGACCCTTCCCGACCATCCTTCGGCCTCGACGACCACTTCCGTATCATTCCCCTCCTCTTCAAGACGTTCCTTGTCCCCAAGGATGAGAAAGTTCAACACATCCACAACACTATCTTCTTCTTCTACGGGGAATTCACCTTGATCCTCAGTCCTCAACTTAATACGCTTCCCTGGTCGTCCAAACTCCATCTTCCCTTGCTTGTAGTCAGTCGTAATAGGTCCAAGCGTTTCCAGCCACTGTACTCCTAGCACAATATCTGTTGCCTTAAGTGGTAAGGCATAAAGATCAATCTCCAGTTCGTGATCCTGTGCCATTATCGGGACCTTCTTGAATAGTTGAATCCCTTGCAGCTCGTGTCCATTGGCCACCTTGATACCAAACTTCTTGACTTTGGTGGGTTCTAGCTTTAACTTTTGGGCTATCCTTTCGTCGATAAAATTTAAACTTGATCCACTGTCCACCAGAACCTCCAAAAATGTATCTCTTACTTCGGCCGTGAATTTGATCATCTTAGGACCCCGCTTGTTGCACTTCACCATATGCAACCAAGACTCTTCCTGCGGCTTTTCTTCCTCTCGCCCCTCCTCAATTTCCAACACAAAAATTTCTTTTCCCTTGCACTTGTGGCCTGGTGTAAATTTCTCGTTGCACGTAAAACACAAGCCTTTTTCCCTTCGCCTTTGTATCTCATCCTCCATCAGCCGTCCGTAGTTGCTAGTGGTGCGTGTACCATCACCTACTGTTGGCTTGACCTCGGCCCGTGGGGGCGTATCGTCGATCGCGACGCTCGTGCGCCGCACGTCCGTGCGCCCCTCGCTTGGTCTGGCCTTGCGCACTGCCGCGAGATGATCCTCGTGCAGTCGCGCTGCTTCCATGGCCGCCCTTGTCGACCTTGGCCTGTCCAATCGTACCTCCGCAGCCAACTCAGCCTTTAAACCTCCAACAAATGCACCGACTAATGCACTCTCGGGCCAATCACGCACCCGGCTTGCTATTTTCTCAAATTCCTTTTGATAGTCGCGTAGACTCCCGGTTTGACGGATCCTTGGCAATGCCTCATCGTAATCGAAATAATCACTAGATCCAAACCTGGCAATTAGCTCCTTCTCAAAATCACGCCATCTGATTTGCTCGCCTTTGTTTTTGTAAACATGTGACACCCATTGCCACCATGTGTTGGCTTCACCATCTAAGTAGTAGGCAGCAATCTGGACTCTTTCGGACTTATGAATCTCGTTGATCTCGAAAAATTGCATGGCACGACTTAACCATGCATCCGGATCTGTTCCTTCGAATGTTGGCATCGTGATCTTCGGCCTTACCTCCGCCCGCTCCTCACGTCGATGCCGGTATCCGTGTGTCCGTCGTCCCCCGTGGTGTCGGGTACTGCGCGTCGCGCGCGTTCCCCGCGACCGTTCGTCGTCGACATCGCGACTAGACGTCGAACTGTCCGTTCCCGCCATGGTTGACCTTGATGTGCGG